AGGGTTTTCCAGCCATGCACGCAGAGAGATAGAGGGAGGCTACTTCCATCGATAGGATGAGCAAAATCAGAATGAATCTTCCACTAGAATATGGAAATATACACTGCTTTCCAGACATGCTACTTCCATTGATAGGATGAGCGAAATGGGAATGATCTTCTGCTAGAACATGGAAATATACAATGTGTATGCGTCTGTGTGTGTGTGAGTACGTTGCAGTGTATATGAAACTGGATTCGTGGGCACATACATGCACGGAACTGATGCGTTATCCTCTCTCTCTCTCTCTCTCTCTCTCTCTCTCTCTCTCTCTCTCTCTCTCTTGATCTCTCGATCTCTCTCTTTCTGTCTCTCTCTCTCTCTCTCACACACACACACACAGAGGCAGGCAATGAACAGTGGAGCCAGAAACCAGAACGGACCTTCGGATAAATGGCCCCTTTCTTTTAGCAGGATGAGCCCATCAGGAAAGCAACAGGCGTCCGGGCGCAGCATGCGGAAGAGGCAGTACTTGCATCATCTGTTTTTCTTTCTGTTTTTCGTTCTGTTTTCCTTCTTTTCTCTTTGTGCTTTCCTTTTTTCTTTTTTCTTTCCTTTTTTCTCTGTTTTCTCCTTTTGTCTGTTTTTCTTTCTGTTTTCCTTTTTTTTCTTTTTTCTTTCCTTTTTTCTCTGTTTTCTCCTTTTGTCTTTTTTCTTCTTTTTTCCTCTTGTTTTTTTTTCTTTTTTCGTTTCTTTTTTTATTCTTCTTTTTTCTTCTCCTTTCTCTTTCTTTTTCCTTTTCTTTCTCTTTCCTTTTTCTTTCTTCTTTTTTCTTTGCTTTTTCCCGGCCTTTTTTTTCACAACTATCGGAAGAAATAAACGAAACCCTGCGCGCACACACACGCACCCCCTCAAAGAAATACAGCACAGTACTCAGCACAATACTAGATGAAGGGTCGGCACAGGAAGCGGACGTACACACGAAAAAGGCTGACGGGTACTTCAAACGAAAGTCGCGCTGTCGGAGGGCACGACTTTCCGGCCCTCCTCTGTGTACCAAGCCCTGCTTGGTACCAGTTCTTGTACCAGCTCCCCGTTTTGATGTTCCAGCCTGTACCCCTGTTGTCCCTAGCACCCAAGCTGTGCCTTGGCATGGACCAGTCCCAGTGGCAGAACCCCCGACATAAAGGGGTGCGCCACTGATTTCCGTTGGTCCACGCAGGCTCGGCGCCCTGCTGTGCAGCAGAGCATGACCGGCCTGTGGCCGTGGTGGCCGCCGGGCTCGCCCTGGGACACAGAAGTGAAAGGACTGGCTCGGTCTTTTCTGTCGTGCGACGAAATCCTCTGTACAGGGTTATGGGTTAGGTGCACGAAATAAAGGTCGCTAAAAGAGAGGAAACAAAGCGCCGAATTTGAACTCACTTTAGTTCGGGGAAAATCCAACGGCTTTGGGCCACTGTGATGTTACGATCCCCTTTCCATTTTTGCTTACTGATTGTTATTATTATTATTATTATTAATGTTATTACTTAATTTCCCAAATTTTCAGTTTTCCGCTTGTCGTCTGTCACTTCGCAGGGGAGGCCGTCGATTCGGGTTTTCGAACTGCAACTGTGGCCTTATGGCCTGGGGCTCTACTTACCCCTTGTATATCGCCTGAATTAGACTCGTTCGTCCGAACCTTGTAGCGGGACCCCGATGGCCAGGTAAAGAGGCAGATACAGTAAGGACTAGAAGGAAAAAGAAAAAAATAAAACAAAGAAAAGGAATGACAAAGATTGAAAATCGGGTGCAAATTTTTTGCGTGAACGTGGATCGCTGTCAGGCAAGGGTGCTGCGCGGAGAAATTCTGGGACGCCACCCTTTCCTTTTCGGCAATTAATATTATTATTATCATTATTGGTATTATTATTATTATTTTATTACTATTTAGTTTTCTAAATGTGGTTTTCAACCTGTTGGCTTATCCTTTCGCGGGAAGCCAACGGTTCGAATTTCGAAGCCAACAGTCCGTAGCCTAAGTAGGCTGACCTTGCATATACTATCTGCGGGTGAGCCCCGATCTGGCTCCGTGCGATGAGACCCCAAAAGAAGGGTGACCCGCGGCCGCATCGGTAGGAGGCCTATCACCCCCCTGTGGAGGGGTCATAAGCTCCCTCCTTGCCATCGGACATGGGTGCCCGATGAAGATGGGCCTGCGCTGCTATGTAAAAACGGAGAAGTGACTTCTAGTACTCCATAATGGGACCACGGCGCAAAACCTGCAGTCATATTGCTGGGGTCTGGGATTGACAAGTGAGAATTTAATACGTGATCGACCGTTGGGTTCTGGGTTGAGTATTAGTTTTTGAAAGTTAATTATTAATCCATTGTTTTAAAATTCTTGAGAAGCGGTGGAGTCTGAAAAGGACTAATGAAAGTTCCTCGTTCAGAACGCAGAGGAAAGCCCTAYAAAAGGGAGAGGGGTTGAGATATCGTCCGCGRCCAGTCACCTGGTGGTATAGTCTGTAYTGCGAGTTCMTGTGGATAGGYCTGCTATARGAARTCGACGATCTAGTGTTGTGCTGTCTATCAAACGGGGCAGGCTATTYTGAGTGGCAATGGCACTACACGGCTRTAGGCCTGGCTGCTGGCGGCACACGGTGCGCTGGGTTYCAGTGTCGGGTGAAGGCYCTCTGATTACGACGGCCCTGAACTATGATGGGGGAGAAGTAGTCCGACTGAAGGTCTGCATAGAAGGGGGGAGAGAGGAGGAGATGCGAGGTGATCAGAGGCTGCAGGCTGCCATTTCCGAAGCTCGTGACAGGGCGGAACAGATGTGCAGACGAAATGGGGTGACCGTGGGCTTGAGAGTGACTGTCATCTATCATGAGATCGAGTCATCAACTGGGACCGAGATGAGAGAGGAACAACATAACGAGAGAGACTCAGGTGGGGAAAGCGAAACGAGTGAGGCGGACTGAGAAACGGATCTCAGGTCCTGGAACAGACCCAAGGAGATCCAGAAACACCACCGAGCCGCGGAGCCGGTGGAAAAGGGACCCGAGGCCAGCTCATGAGAGCTGACTCCCAGGGGCCGCGGGATTGGAGGCCGCGGGACAGGAGGAAAACAGAGTAAAGGTAAGAGACGGGTGTGAGGCAAAAGAAGAAGGGGGGATCGACATGCGTGGAGAGAGGGCGTGCAACAGGTCAACAAGAAGGGACGAGAGCTAAAAGTACAGGTGTGAGATGTTGACGTCAACTAGACAACAGTGTGTGAAGCGAAGTAGGACGTGAGCTTGCAGAGTGCGGGGATGTCAATTGCTTGCATGCTCGTGTAAAGTTCCGGCACTTGTGTGTCCGTTGTTGTCTGCACACTCAAGTGACATGGCTACAGCTGTCGTGAGGACGACAGCATAAGAGTGAAGGGGGAGCCTGTCGGAACCACGTGAGGGGAGTCCATTAAGGGAAGTTGGTTTGCAGGGTGTGGAGTAGGCTGCTACTCGATCCGTTTGCCGCGTGCTGAGCGAGGTTACTCCTTGTCACGGATGCGGGTCAACAGCTTTTCACTAAGGCATGGGCTATAATCACCTGGTAATTAGTGCGTGACCAGTGATAAGCCGAGCTGGTGCTTGCTTGAGCAGGGGGAGACTCGACTCATCTACTATGATTGGCGTATATGTGATATGTATGGTCGTGAGGAGGGAGTCATGTGCGGACTGACAAGAAAGAGGCTCGAGCGAGGGCTCGAGAGTGCAGGTGACAGAACGAGTGAGATAAGTCAAGGAGGCTTACGCGCGTAAGCTCA